TGTCAGCTGGAATATTGCTGAGTGCGGCGTTAAACAACCAAGCAACAAACCTCGTCTTTGTGGTCGTGGTTTAGTGATAAACGAGATGTAACAGCAGGGCTGAATCTATGGGAAATAATAAGTGTAAGTTTTATTACTCACTCACTCGAATATCTTCCCACCTGCGGCAGCTGTAGCATAACAATAAACACTTGGATATGAATACATTATATCTACTTATCGTTATTATTATTTATTAGCAGTTTGAACAGAAGCATATCAACATGATTAATGCGTCGTACTGTACCGGGATTCACAGGGGCTTGTAACGCTAAAAACGGCCATCAAAGTATATACTGTCACTAGCGGGGTCTTAGTAAAAGGATCCTTGATACCTTGATCGCAGTTTTTAGAGTTACAAGCCCCTGTGCAGAGATTGTTTCTGTATATCTGTCCTTGTAGAGTGAGTGGGTGTGTAAGGTTTAACGCCGCTTTGGACAGAAATTCAATTACTAGTAACATGTCAGTTTCATTTCGAAAGAACCCCTAATGGCGGTTTAGTGAGCGCGCACGCACGCACGCACATACACGCACACACGCGCTGGCATATACATACACACTCACTCACACACATACATACACAGACATACATACAGACATACAGACATACATACATACAGACATACAGACAGACAGACAGGCAGGCAGGCAGGCAGGCAGACAGACAGACAGACAGACAGACATACAGACAGGCAGCAGGCAGACAGACAGACAGACAGACATACACGCAAACACGCACGTACGCACACTAACAATTGAATAACATAATACCGAAACACACCTGTACATAATTCAGCTACGATATTCTTCAAAATGAAGGGTTAAAACCTGAATTCACCTCACGTACAGATAATGCGTTACGGTACACTATTAGAATGAGCTTTGACTATATACATACATTGACAGACACAAGGCCCACAACACTCATTCAGTCCCTAACAAAAATAACGGATGCTATCGATATCCATTCACGGAATTGCTTTGACGTAAAAATCTTTCGTTGTACTTTTATCTGGCGAACCTGACTGTAACCTTGAACCCAGGTCGTTCAGATAAATATTGTGTCCCTGATAACACATAACCCTGATAACGGGATAACACAAACAGGACAATACAAACAGGACAACACAAACAGGACAATACAAACAGGACAATACAAACAGGACAATACAAACAGGACAATACAAACAGGACAATACAAACAGGACAACACAAACAGGACAATACAAACAGGATAACACAAACAGGACAATACAAACAGGACAATACAAACACGTTAGCGGTGTACATCTGCATTCCACAGATTGTTACACACAAAACGCACGTCTTACATTGAGTTAACTACGGTTAAAACGGACTCAAAAGAGACTGCTAATTTTAGTTCCTTTAATCGTAGTTCAATATACGCAGTTCGTCTAAAATATACAGAAAGTGTCCGGGACAAAAACACACAGTTCGACATAAGCGTGTTCGTTATAAACATAGCTCGATATAAACGCAGTTACTGTTAGTTATATGAAGACCATTACCTAACCTACATTATTACTATAAGAACCAATTCAGTTGAAACCAGGATCAGTAAAGGTCACTAGCCTTGTATATCTTCTCGCGACTGAAATAGATCAGGCGATCGAACTTTTTGTCTGATGCAATGTCACCGTGTCCTGTAGGCGAGGATCCTCGCCCTTTGTCATTGACCCTGGTTTGCCAGTTTCAAACTGGACTATCAAACGCCCTGTAATGCAGCTGGGCTAGTGCAAACTAAGCCGTCAAACAACATTCGCTCATAAGCTACGACGGACGAAATAGCTGAGTCAGTGCTGATACGGTGGCCGAATCGACTTGGAAAACCCTCTGTATACTCGTGTTAAAAATAGGATGTATATTGGCTTACCTTCAGCTGTGCGTCTCGTGGCTGGGAGGGCTGGTTTAAAACTAAGCGAACAATCTAAGTGATCTCAGTGTTACTGGTGAAGACTATCGACCTGTCTGCCTGATAGTTCACAACATAAAGGTGTTTGACTGCTGTTGACTCCAGAGCTCTCTGCCTAACAGATTACAACATGTCGGTCAAGGTCAAGGTCATGAAACGTCAAAACCGGAGACTTTATGTTAGATGACTTATACAGTTACCCACTGTTCGCATCCCAACGTCACAGTGTTATGACTATTTGATGTAGCGTGAAAAAGCAAGACTCGAGTAAGTCTAGGACTCTCTCCCACAGCGGTTGTGCATATCTATACTGGTCTGACTGTGAGCTTACATAAAGGCAAACATACTGTGTGGATTTCAGCTGACATTTTTTAAAGAATTATTCATGAAGTCTGACAAGCATATATCGTTCCATATATGTCGTGAATATCCTTACTTATGGTGTATTCGTCGTGTATATATTGTACTTGTGAAGTATAGGTTGTATAGTCAGGTAAAGTTGTACACCCCATGTTAATTGTATTCGTCATGAATATGCTGTGTTCATCATTTTTATGTTGTACATGTATATGCTGTAGTAATGACGTGTATGTTCTATAGTCAGATACATTTTGACTTCCATGTAATCCCAGTGTTTTGTATAGTCAGGTAAAGTTGTACACCCCGTGTTTTGATTGTATTTGTCATGAATATGCTGTCTTCGCCATTTATATGTTGTATATATTGTATCGTCATATACAGTTTACTCCCAAGCTTATATTGTATATCTCGATCATATATTGTATTTGTGATGCATGTTTCGCATTGTCATATACGGTTGTACTTCACATGTCTATATTGTATTCGTAGTGTACATATTGTACTTGCATTGGTTGACACATGTCATCGTATAACAATTGCGTAGATCGATGCTCATGCAGTTGATCACTGGATTGTCTGGTCCAGACTCGACTATTTACAGACCGCCGCCATATAGCTGGAATATTGCTGAGTGTGGCGTAAAACAACAAACACAAATCTGCTCTATTGTTAGATGGGTTGAACCAATCAACAAACAAAAATGTATGGTGTATACACTCGCGTAACCTTGATGCGTGGATATAAGGGAAGTGCGGCGAAATTCATATTTTAAATGATTTCATTTTGTATACGCACTGATTATTTTATTCACTGATTCAGCAAATTGAAAATGCCTAATATTCCACTCGTGAATGAAACGTTTGTTACGGAAGCCATTTACAGTCATCACCCATTCGTGTGCCCATAAAATGAGACGTCACCTTGTTTCGTGGATAACATCGTTGGTTACTTTATACCACTATGTACGACATCCCACTGCAGTTAGTATTGACACCAAGGAAAGCAGACAACGGGAAGTGAGAAGGTTGGAGCTAACGGTATCTTTTTTACTTGACATTTTGTAAAAATAAAATTTGGTAATGGTAGTATTAGTGACCTGGGGCTATTTATCTCAATGCTGGATAATTATTTTTAGTGTACTTGCGTGTAATGCAGAGATTCGGAACTTTTTTGTCAGCGAGGCGTGGCATTGTATTTACATCAAAAAGTACCGCTTCGTGACGTCAGTCGAGACTTAATTTACGAGCTAGCATGATAATTTCTGCCATCCACGAATCAAGGTTATCCACGAATTTAGGTTACGGTTCTGTAATATACTGCATTTGTAATGTACAGTTGTACTCTTCATGTTGAGGCCGCAATCGTCATGTTCAACTTGTGTTCGTCGTAATGTGCATGTATGTGTTGTATAGTCAGGTAGAGTTGTACATCCAATATAGACATTGCATATCTCAAGCTTATGTTGTTTGGGTATTGTATACGTACTACTCATGATGTGCCCCAGTTACGCCGACCCGGTTACAGTGACCCAGCTAAGGACCACGAGACCCAGAATGATGGAAAGATACGTGGAAACGTAAGATGAGAGTCAGTACTGTAACCCGATATAGAGGTACAACTGTGAGAACATAGGGACACATGGCGAATCATATGGTTCTCGCACCTACTAGTGATTGAGTCGAGGTTTATGCCGCTGTTAGTAATATTCTAGCAATATAACGGGTTCGAAGATCCGGGTTCGATTCCCCACATGGGTACAATGTGTGAAGCCCATTTCTGATGTCTCCCGCCGTGATATTGCTGGGATATTGCTAAAAGCGGCGTAAAACCACACTCACTCACTCACTAGCTCCTACCTACTGTTCCGCACTGTCGTCTCGGTTTCAAGCTTAGATGTATACACTGTTACAACGTCCTCCTGCATACAGTGTTACCAGATTGTATAACATTCAACTAGAGCTGATTGTCGTTCCAGCAAATACATAACGTACATGTATTAGGTGAGTGTGCCGCTATTATAAGTTTGCTACTTTTTTACGTAAATTCAGTAGAAAAACATGACTTTTTGTTTTATTCATTTTCCAGGTGCATGTGAAGTATATGTTGTTATCCACGCTTGACACTGACATTATATTAAATGTCTGCCCACTTGTGACTCGTGAAGATCCGGGTACGAACGTGCCTTCAGGAATCCATGCTTGTCGTACGAGGCGACAAACGGGATCGGATGGTCAGGCTCTCTGATTTGGTTGACATAATTATGTCATCGGTTCCCAATTGCGTAGATCGATGCTCATGCTGTTGATCACTGGCTTGTTTGGTCCAGACTCGATTATTTACAAATCGCCGCCATATAGCTGGAATATTGTTGAGTGCGGCGCAAAACTAAACACACTCACTCACTCTGCCCAACTGTGTTTATCACTGTTATCACTGTTTATCGCAATTTTCAATTAAATCACCCCCTCACACACGCACATTTTCACAAGAATACTTTTATTTCACACAACGATGGTTAAAAGATGATGCAGTGTCGTGCGTGTTGCTGTACCGGAACTGCATGCCTGTAATCTCAGTTATACATATCCACATGTGTCTTTGGCCATTTGACCTTGACGTAGTAGTAGTCCATGGTAACGTACGGTCTGGTAGTAACGTTGGCAACGCCTTAGTAGGGCTTTTCCAGCCCCACGTCGTGAAGATGGATTGGCAGGTACTGGATAACAATTCTGAAAATACAGTGAAAAATTATCAGTCTGCCCTGGCGCCCTTCGCCTGGATCTCAGCCTTCCGATTTCGAAAACATGAATAAAAGGCGTCTGATTCGGTGGCACTGATGGCTATCCATGCATTTATTTTGAACCGAAAAATATTAGGCCACATCCACTAACGCACTAATATTTCATAATTGGCCGATAACCGATTGGTCTGGCTTTTGCTGCAGTGCATGTCATTGATTTTCTACTGTAGTCTACAGTTCTCTTTGTGTAGTTGGTGTACCATGGTGGTTAAAGCGTTCACTCGTCACGTCGAGTACCTGGGTTCGATTCCCTACAATGCATAATGTGAGAAGCCCATTTCTGGTCCCTCACCACGTGATGTTGATGAAGATTTCTAAAAGCGGAGTAAAACACAACTCACACCTGGCAAAACTTGAAGCACATTTTGTCATGAACTTACATGTCTCCTGGACATGTATATATACATGTTTTGACAGTGTGTCGGATTAGACAGGTGCCGGTGTTGGCAGGTTTCACTGTACATGATACAGGTGTACTTTTCATCCATTTTCAAACATACTACTGATACGTTCTGATCAAGTAGTAATAGTGTCACTTTTTTGTTATTTGATTAAAATTAATTAAGATTGAAGAAATTAATTAAAAAGTACTCACTGTTACGACTAAACACTACTCATAACCGATTATGGTTTCGAATCAAAACATACTGAGAATCCAATGAAGGTTTTGTGTAATCACGTGACTAGCATGTGATTGTTTAGTTGTTCCTACATTGCGGACATACATGAAATCTACTCTTTTTTTGTGTGTTCTTTCATAGTGATATGTGATGATATGCCCTTGTCGGATGTCTCGAAGCTCGGATAACTCGATATTTCTTCTTGGTCCCATGAATATCGAGACAACGGTGCTCGACTGTATAGTGTGTGTGTATGCCCCTCTCGGTAACATTCGAGCAATATGACGGTGACTTTTAACCTGGACCAGACAATCCCGTGATTGAATAACAAACTACGAAAATATTTCGACACGATGTCATGCATCGACAACGTTACCGAGAGAAACTACCCGATCCACTAACTCGTCTATTACGACAAAAACCAAAACAAATTACAAAGAAAAACATATCAGAAAATCAGGACTTGGTGCGATATGAACAATGCCCATTTGACACAGTAATATATAGAAAGCGATGTTGAACCGTGTTTTATATGTAAATATGGTCATTTCAAAGCATATATCACTTCTGTACATGCTGATATGCTATTGTTCAAAGTACCAAACCCCCAACTATCATGATGTACAGTTAAATACATACCTATTTCCTTCAATGTTCAAGGCATTCTTGAGGAAGTCTATGATAGGCTTGGTGTAGGCTGAGTTCCTGTCTTTGTCAAACACGTCTATTGAGTGGATCTGAAGGAAGCAAGCCGGGGCCCTGCTCTCCAGGCGGTACATGCGCAGTCCGGTCTGAACAGTGACTGTCATTTTCTGAAATCGTATATTAGGATGTTAAATACCAGCTGAGATTCAACATACTTCCATAACGGTTAATTTCTCACTTAGTAACTATATGTGACCAAAACACACGTTATGTTTCCTTGTCTTTTTTTTCCCGACTTCGGACAAATATGGTACCTTTAATTTTTTCTTCGATGGAGATTTTACGCGCGCTTTCAGAAGGCTTAACGTCCCACTGGTTAATGCATTGACACTAATATTCAGGAGTTAGTGAGTTGGGCTTTACGCTGCTGTTAGTAATATTCCGGCAATATCACGACGGGGTACACCAAGAATGGGCTTCACACATTGTACTCATGTGGGGAATCGAACCAGGGCCTTCGGCGCGACGAGCGAATACTTTAACCACTGGACCACGCCACCGCCCCAATTATTCATTGAGTGTCAAGTTTGAGCCTGTAAATATGTATTTAGTTCAATAGGTAAAAGATTTTTTATGATGTGTATAAAGCAGCAATGATGCAACCAATGAATAGGTTTCAGATTTTGGTACACTTGAATAGCAGTTTAATCACTTGGTTCATCTTACTCTTAGATCAGCATGGGGGAACTCAACAACAGATATAAGATATATCTGCTTTCTTTAATGTTCTCCCTTTACACGTGCTTATGACGTGTGTTCATCTTTTCGCGGACCTGCCTGGTATCGTCACAATTTGCATGTGACTCAGAAATACAAGCATATATTTAAACGGAGTAAATGGAGCGGTTTTCCTTACCGGCTTTCATTTCGTGTTTCACGTAATGACTTTTCGATCCAAGCCAAACTAAACCCACACTGAACACAACTATTCTCGATAGTACATTCCTCCTTTCTGTTATCGATGCCATGGCAATGAGAAACGGCAGAACATAGCATATCCACAACACATATAGCAGACTTTAATATTTTTCATTAGGAGCATCCCGTTCACGTTCGTTTCTAAGATAAGGCAATACGATATCACTACAGATGAAACAATTTATGTTGTATAGATTTCATTTCTCGTAAATATCGCCCGGTAGGAAAGGTTTCCAGACAAGCTGGGAACCACTGTTTGCTGCTGTAAATATTTCATTCGCTTGAAAAGATAATCTGGAAGCGTCGATGCTGATAGCCGGATTAGGCGTGACTCTCTAATGATCAAAACGCAGAGAGACATAAAGTGAAATATCCGATTTTGATAATATTGGTTACTGACCTGCATAGGTTTCCCAAGGGTCTTGGCTATGGTCTCCGCTAGAGTGACCTCCAGACCTCCAGGGACCTCGCTGTCCTTCAGGTTGGTGTACATCAGACAGAGCGGCATGGTGGGGCTGGACCGCTGGCCGAGGGAGGGCGCCTGTCACTTATTGTCCCTGAAATAGTGTGTATCTTGTACAACTGTAGCAATGGCCTACAACCTGGAGCACCTAGAGTACTTATCAGAAGAGACCTGTAAAGATCTCCAGCAACCCATGCTTGTTGTACTGAGTGAGTGAGTGAGTGAGTGAGTGAGTGAGTGAGTGAGTGAGCAAGCATGGGATTAAGCCACTTTTATTCAAGAAATATCACTGAGATAGGCGCCAGAAATTGGCTTCACAGATTGTATCCATGAGGGGAATTGGACCCGGGTCTTCGGCGTGCCTTGATCGATGCACGACATTGTATCCCAGTTAGGTAGATCAACGGTTTATTTTGTCAATCACCGGATGTCCTGACCCAGGCTCGAATATTTACAGACTTTATCATATCTAGACTATTGCTGAGTTAAAAATAAAACAAACAAACAAACAAAACGCATCAGAAGAGGCGACTTCGTTGGATAATGTGGCCTGGATGTGGGATTAACTCATGCGAATCATTGCAAATCATCACTAGCAATGACAGGTACAGAATCGATTTTCATTGTTTTACACTGACATGTTGCGGACAGCAATGTTAAATAACCAACCAAACAAAAATGAAAGAAACAAGCAAACGAAGAAATCAAAGAGGAATAAATCTGATGTAACGTGGACATTTATACGTGTAGGTACTTTCGAGTCGTAATAGTTTAATTCTTACAATATTAAATATTCCATATTGCCTCAGATTTTGATCTTTTGCTCCCTTGTCTCTTTAAATACGGCTTAGAGTCTGAATGCCGGTGGTCATATTATTTGCTTCATACGCCATATATATAACGCATTTGATTTTCTGTTTGATGCCTTCCGACTTTTCCCGGATGTATAGGAGGTACGGCTCACCCAGATCCCTGTGCAGAGTTGCGTCCCTTGGGCACGCCCGAAACCTGATTCCGGGTACGAATCCCGATATAGTCTGTAATGATTTATTGTTTGTCAACATCATACCCATGCTAGGGGGGTCAGCAAAATGATAACAGTCGGAGAATGTATTCTTAAGACTTTCCCACATACATTGTGATGCAACTGGAATAATGTTTAAAGCGGCGTTAAACGCTACTTACTCACTCACTCAATATAACAATAACAATGGCATCAATGACAAAGTGGTCAAAGATCAGCTACAACGTTAACTTATGACATTCTCAGTGTTTATTTAGGTGTCATACATAGAGGATATTATATGAGTGCCCATGTCATACTAACTATGTTTACGACACGAGTGCCTAAATGTTGATATTTCCAGAGCGAGAGCGAGGGATATACCGATATTTAGGCACAAGTGTCTTAAACATAGTATGATATGGGCACGAATATGATATTCTGTTTATTACCGAAGTCGTCAAATTGAGGAAATTAAACCCAGATCTACTTTCAAACATGGGCTGGCTACCCGCCGTCGCCGCATGTAGAAAGCAACGTCACAGAAGTAACGTGACGTCATAGCATTGTTCATGACCTCACGTCACCATGACAAAGTGATTTTTTGTCGTAGTGCATCGTATGAAAAATATGAACCCCGATAATTTTGCCCTCGTAGATAATAAATTTCAGAATCTGTCTTGTATGTAAACAAAGATATATCGAAGATGACTACCATTTTTAAGTGGGCATAATGCATACCAAGATGTAACATATCCATAAATTCAGTATAAATCCTACTTTACATTAATTTATCATGTCGATTTCAGATGCAAATAATAAAAATACATTATCAGACTTATCTAAATCTGCTTATTATAAGAAGGGATTTGACACCTTAAGCACTTAATCTTAACATTGGAAGAGAGTGCAAATTAACGCCGGTTTAAAACCACCTTGGTGAAACCGAATTGTGCTTATCAACCTGGAAACATCATCAGTGTAAACAGGATTTGAACGCACGGTCATAGTTTCTGCTAGGCACGAATATGGGACATGAATATGGACAGCTTGTGGCCTACCTTGTTAGGAGACAGTGGCTATTCTTGGGTAGAGCCTTGCAGCCCGTATAGATTTAATAAGGACAGGGGTAAAGCCACACTGAAAACTGCCCTCGAGATGACAGCAGCTAATCTCATAGGCCTTCACGATCATCGCAACTGTCGTCATGTCTGACATCTGCTGTTAGAGGAGGTCAAGGTCGAAATGATAAGCTGCTTAAGTGGAAGACTTTGCATCAAATCTTGATAACTGTAAACAAACACATACTGACAGAGTGTGCTAAGCTGTGGCACAACCCTGGACTCTGATGTAGGAGTGACTTCACACTCAGTCATCTAACTGTCATAGTGTCAGACTTGACTGGGATGTGTCAAACAGGGCAAGCTAATTTCACGGAGGTGTGTCACAGTCAATGTAAACATTGTTGTCGCTCGTAGTTAACGTGTATTTCTAAAGAAAACCCGTTGGATGCTCTATGGTGAAATGTTGATGTTTTTAGGCTGCACATTTCTTATTTTAAATGAAGCTCGGGTGACACTGCTACAAAGAGGCCTACATCAGACCGTATTACTCTCCGGCTCGGGTGACACTGCTACAAAGAGGCGTACCTTCGAGAGAAGCATACAACTTATAGTATTACAAAGTTTTCAAATAGAAGATATAGATTTGCTGAGGATGCACTGTCAAAAGGAATGCAAATATGTTGACATGCCTGCTTTTAAATTTGCCATCTCACTGAGTGAAATTAGTCGTGTCTAGGGTCCCAACAAATCCACAAAGCGTTCGTTTAATGTTACGACCTGTCGTAACTCTATAGTTTATTATAGGCTTACGAATGTCGTAGCGCTAAGAAGGCTTTGTAGATCAGGCCCATGCAGGCTCAGATATTTCAGGTAAACAGGATGTACGTTTCGAATTACCAAAAGAGGTAATAAAAGCATCTGTTATAATTTTACTGTCTTTGCAAGTTTGCATTTCAGTGAATGCAGTGGTGATTGGTCAGTTCGAGAGGTATCACATTACTTTTTTGATTGGAATGCGTATCATGAAGTCTTTGAAAATGACGGATCACATTACAACATCTGGAAAACATCTTCAGTGCCGTTTCCCTGCATGTAGTGTAATATTTAGTACGTTTGCCTTCTTTAACTCTCCAATAACTTAATCAAAATCAATCCCTGGTGAACGCGCGGGGTTTATCAATAAGACCCGGGTCTTCAGCAGTCCATACATTCGTAAAGGGGCGATGGTCAGACTCGATGACTTGGTTGATGTATATAATTGTATCCAAATTGTGTAGATCAATGCTAATGATGTCAATCTTTGGATTGCCTAATCCCAGACTCGAATATTTGCAATCGGCTGTCTTATAGCTGGTATATTGCTGAATGCGGCGATAAACAACAAACAAATTCATTACACTTAATCCGTAATTCCTCTCAGCCTAAAATTTACGTTTGAGAGATGGCTGTTTCACGCCGTCACAAGCAATATGACGGAGGTTTCTCTAGACAGAAATGAAAGCCAAATTATTGTACGGCAAGAAAATAATGTTGGTTTGCGGGCACACTATGTGAGGAGAAAAGAATATGACAAGAAGACAAAGTCATCAATATCCCCCGCAACGCAAAATACTCTTTATGAATATGTCTACTAGTTATGATTATGTCAAATGTTTTGGAGTGTATACAGCAAAGTGGAAGGAGAGTACTGAAAGGTTTTTAAGATCTGCTCCAGAGAGGAGCACTGCCATCAAATTCAGTTGAAGCCTAACTTGTTGCCATGGAAATGCAACAAGATGGCATCCTCATAGCCACAGCCTCAGTCACGTTTCCATGGAAACCGCAAAAAAATCATATCTGGGTCTAACCCCCACAAGGCACATCTAGGGATCATGGTTGACATGTGTACCAAGTTTTGTTAAGCTATCACCAACAATTTAGGAGATATGCTTCGGAAAACGTGTGTCGGACGCACGGACGGACGGACGGAACTCGTTTCTATATCCCCCGCAACTTCGTTGTTGCGGGGGATAATTACTTTTGATGCCTTTTCACGTGTTCTGTGTGTAATAAAAAGACATGGGCCACTATCCAAATTATCATCTAAAGTCCTGCTTTTGTTTGTTTGTGTGTGTGCGTGTGCGTGTGCGTGTGCGTACGCGCGCGCGTCGCAACGACTAGCGTACATTTATGTTAAGGTATCGGATCCATGTTCACCGTACTGTACTGTACAATTACTGAGATCAATTTGAGCAGGTGAACGCTGGACCAGTATGGCAAAATCAAAGCCATTTGAAAATCTTTCATGATGCGTCTTTGAACAAAATTGAAATGGCGAAAGCAAAATGCAAAAACCTATTTCGATAGGTGGCTCGGGGAGCCCAGTCATCTGTGGCGGCGCAATTCACGGTTACGTCCCTTACTGTTACTGTTTTAAAACTCAGGGTGCTTGGCCGTCAGAGACGGTTATTTCTCAGAAGATGGGAGACGTGTACTTTTAGGTTTTACAAAGGAAATATATCAGTGGAGAACAGAACGGGGATGACATACCTGTAGTCGTAAAATGTTGAGAATAACATACCATTTTGTCCTTTCAGGTGAGAGCTAAATAACTTGCGCACTGGCACGTTTTTAGCCAATATTTTTGCAGGTAAAACTTTACAGTAACCGAAATAACGCCAAATAGGAATCAATAACCAAATGTTTAAATCTGGATTCAAAACATTTTTGATGAAAAACATTGAACCAGGAATATGTTGGCTGTTTACAAAGAATATAATTAATCTAAAATGACTTGGTAATTTGTCTTGTGCATGCCTGAAGTATCTTTCATATATTTGAGGAAGTCGTACTCTTTAAAGTATGTTTGTGCAATCTCCTGGAAGGAGAACCCAAATTTTGACCCTCATAAATGTAGGTCATGATAGAAACCATGGAACCAACAAACACACATTGGTCATTCAGGTTCAAACCCGATATTAGATGTTTTTGGACAGAAGAATGTGCCGTCTGAAATGAATGTTCCCGTCTTGCACGGACTGCTCTGCA